CTCTGGCTGCTGCCAGGTCAATAGTGTGTCATGGGTCCCTGTACGGCCTCCCATTGCTGCTGTCTCCATCGCCACACTCTGCCAGTGGTGCCACTTTCAGGTCCCCGCACACTGCTGGTGGGTTCCATTTTTTGTCATAGGGTGCTGGCAGATTACGGGCCTCCCATAGCTGCTGCCAGGCCCCTAATCTGCCATGGGCCCCTGTTGTCGCTTGTTGGCCATATTCCGCTCGTTCAGATGCTCCTTCTCCTGCTACTCCTCTTCACGGATTCCGTCAGCAGTCTTTCTTGGAATCCGTTTCCAAGAGACAACAGTTTGCGAGCACGCACCAGACGGTGCAGAATACTGAACGTCCTCCTGTCCAAGTTGCTGCTGCCAGGCTCGTAATCTGTCATGCGCCCCTGTACCGCCTCCTCATGCTGCTGCCAGGTCCAGAGTGTGTCATGGGCCCCCGTACCGACTCCAAATGCTGCTGCCAGGCCGTAATCTGTCATGGGCCCCTGTACCGCCTCCCCATGCTGCTGCCACGTCCAGATTGTGTCATGGGTCCCTGTACGGCCTCCCATTGCTGCTGCCAGGCCTGTAATCTGCCATGGGCCCCCGTACCGACTCCTCATGCTGCTGCCAGGCCCGTAATCTGCCATGGGCCCCTGTACCGCCTCCTCATGCTGCTGCCAGGTCCAGAGTGTGTCATGGGTCCCTGTACGGCCTCCCATTGCTGCTGTCTCTATCGCCACACTCTGCCATGTGCCACTTTCAGGTCTCCTCACACTGCTGGTGGTTTCCATTTTTGTCATAGGGTGCTGTATGGCCTCCCATTGCTGCTGCCTCCACCGCCACACTGTGGCTCCACACTCTGGTTTTGGCCCCGTGACTGCCCAAATGAGTGAAGTGTGCGGTGATTCTAAGATCGACGGCACTCATCTGCATGTCATACTGCCTGACAGTATTATTTCTCTTCCCCAGCAGACTCCAAGGGCATTTAAATTAAAGGTACAGTGTTCAGCACTAATATTAAGTCTCTCTGAAGCCTAGAAACACCCTTTTTTAAGTTAATTCACAGCGAATATATTCGACTCGAATCGAAATTTTTCTACGAATTCGCCGAATCAGTCGAATCGAATTTTGAATACTTCGCTCATCTCTAATCCCAATGTGTTCTCATTTTCATCTTAAAATACTTATCTCTGTGCTCAGTAAACTATCATGTCATGTCAACAATAAATATGATAGAATTTACATCATATTTAAAGTATTCAAAATGAAATGGTTATTGTTACCCAGACAAGAAAAGTCTTCTTTTCTGCTGATCAAAAATCAACAATTTGGTTCCCCATTTGACGTCAGTGTTTATAGTTTCACATCCCTTTAAATGTGAATCACAAGACATTTGCTGATTAATTTCTGGGTGACTTTTATGCTTACTCTATTTTTTTTCCTTTTTACACAATTACATCCTCTTTATTGTTTCCAAGTATTCTCAAAATGTCATTTCCTTTGCAATCTTTGTCTTCAGTATATGTCAATGATGACTGAAGAAAGAATGGAAATCATCACAGCTGTTAATGGAACATCTTCATAAGGATCCTGAAAAGGAAATTGGGGGTTTTCCAATCCTGACTATGACCTGACCTTTGACATTTCTGTTTCCCTGCCCATTTCTTACTTTCTGTATCCCATCCAATGAAAACCTGTGGATAAAGAGAGAGGTTGCATACATTTCCCAACATACATTGCTTGAATAGACTGTGCTATAAATCCATATACCTTTCACAACTCTCTTTTTTTTACAAGCTAATTTGGATGATCCCCTTTGGATCTTTCTGGACTACCTAACTGTCACACTATTCCAATCACTGCCTTACACTGGCTTCCACATTTTTTCTGATGGTGGTATCTGCGGTGGTTGTCTCAGAGTCAGTGGTGTTGTGGCAGGAGATCTATTTTAATTAGGATGTAGGTAGTTTCATTTATTGATGCCCACTGGGACCTGGAAACTCCAGTTATACTGTGTTTAAATTATTTACAAATGTTATTTATTGTTGTTGTAATAAAAGGCTGTTTTAGCCATTAACTCAAGCTTGTTGTCCGAGTGGCTAATTAATGTGAAGGGGAGGAGGTAATGGTCAAAGGGAAAGGGGGACAAGCCATCTTTAGTCTCCTGGTCATGCAATAATCATAAAAATCATATAAATAAAACCATCTTTTCATAAGTGACTAATGATAGTTCAAATAAATGTATGACAACCAATCCCAGTGCTGTAAATCATATTTGGAAGTTTAAATCCAGCCCCCTAAATTGAATAATATGAAGGGTGCAATTCATACCAATATAAACCCACTATTATTAGTGCAATCACACTCCAAACAATTGAGGAATTACTACCAGACTCACAGTGCTGCAAATCAAACTTAAATTGCAATGTAATCCAAACAGAAAAGTCCAAAACTCTTCTGTGCAGAGTTCCCTCTCACAATAAAAGTCCTCTAAAATATACATGCACTCTGTATATACATTCAGTTTCTTATCCGCACTATTCAGTGCCGTGATTTGCCAAGTGCAGATTAGCAGGTCACCTTATTGTTAGACCAGGGGCACACTGACCATTCAGGCACTCGGGCACTGGGGTCAGTAGGGGGCCCCATGAGATGCCCCTGGTACCTTTCATAGGCTTTTTTTTGGGTGTGGTTTGAGTGTGAGCGAGGACACAGGGGTCCCATGATCCGCTATTGCCCGGGGGCCCCATGAGTTGTCAGTCCGCCCCTGTGTTAGACCTATATCTGCATACAGGTCTAATAGCACTTTTTTCTAGTTACCACACCAGGTATCAGCATTTTCTGGAGATTTCCTCAGTATCCACTGTTCATCAGTCATATAAAAAACAAACAGTTCTCCATTGAGTAACACTGCTTAAAAAAACTGTTTATTAAAATAAAATGCCACTCACATTTAAAATACATTCAGAAACAAGTGTTACCACACATTTTGTCACTCCTGGTAATGCAGACAGTAGTTGTGTATCTGGAAACCACTACTTCCTCAACCGGAAGTGATGTCAACCGCCTCCGTCCAACGTGTTGTGCCACTAATCAATTGACTTCATCAGGGACAGCAACAGATGCTTTAGAGCATGTGGGCAACATGTGGATGTACTACATATTTGCTGGTCTTGACTGAAGCTGACTGTGTTTAGGTCCAGAATGTTTGTCCTCCTTCAAACTCTGTTTCATATTATTGTCCCTAAGGATACCAGGATTGTTCTTCCATGCTACAAGATTCCAGGATTTTTCTCACATTAACAGAAATTAGCCATACTTGGCTCTGGCTGCTAAACAAATGATAGCCAAAGCCTGCAGAAAAACCACAGTCCTCTTTCAAGAAGACAAAGAGCGCATGAACATGATGCTGGTTAATGAGCAATTATCTATCATCCCAACTCAACCAATGGCCCACTGATCTGCAATCTTAAGCCCATGAAAGGACTTTTATGTTATGCCTTACCTTAGGTCCTGAAAGTTTAATGTTGCTTAAATTGGACTATGTACTCTCACTGTCTGCTTCTTTTACCAGATATTTTAGCCTTTGCATGGGCATATTTGTTGGTATTCACTTCTGAAAACCAATAAAAATGATTGTAATAAAAAGATTTCTCTGTATTTTGTTTTAAGCTTAGATATAAAACCTAGAAAAACTTGGGATGGGAGTCATAGATAATTTACATAACCCTGACCTGGCAATATTTTAGGGTACACTGCCAACTCAGAGATTCTTATACATTGAGCAGAACCCCTTGGAGGAAGGGGTTCTTATACATCACTTAGAACCCTTTGGAGGAAAGGGTTCTTATATATCACTTAGAACCCCTCGGAAGAAAGGGTTCTTATACATCACTTAGAACCCCTTGGAGGAAAAGGTTCTTATACATCACTTAGAACCCCATGGAGTAAGGGGTTCTTTTACATCACTTAGAACCACATGGAGGAAGGGGTTCTTATACATCACTTAGAACCCCTTGGAGGAAAGGGTTCTTATACATCACTTAGAACCCCTTGGAGTAAGGGGTTCTTTTACATCACTTAGAACCCCATGGAGGAAGGGGTTCTTATACATCACTTAGAACCCCATGGAGGAAGGGGTTCTAAGATATGTATATTGTATAAGTTGCTAAGTAATTATACATGAAGGCTCAGGTTTCACCTTATGCAGCCTTAGACCAGAATTGTATTGGAGTCATATAAATGCAGGATTGAATGCTTGAGGGGCTGGAGAGCATTAGTCTTATGACATAAATAACTGTTGATGCTCCATGTGTCAGTTCTGTTATGCCATTAGGTATTGTATCAGTCTGTTTTACTTCTTAGACAAATGCTGTACATTCTATAATACCTGATTGCCTTACTCTTGTGCAAAAAGTCTGAAAATAAAGAATTAAAAAAACATACTGACACAGGACCTTAGCCAGTAGAGTTACTTTCTCTCTTTTTAGGTTTAAGCACATTTATACCAGTGTTTGTACCATCTTGAATGCATTTGAGTAGTAGTTTCTTACATATGGAATCTTCTCATGCTAGAGGTCATACTTAATGCACAAACAGTATTATGTGAAGCAGTGGCAGGTAGGATTACCAAGGAACCCCAGTGCATGACCAACCGTTTGGGTCCCCCATTTACACAAGTGTACATGTATTTAGCCAAGTAAATACATTTACAAACTGTTAATGGTTTGACAGTTAGATAAATAAGTACAGGGCAGACGTCTACATGACAGTAGGAGTGGTCCCACCACCCATCTGATCCATATCAAGTCTAAATAGACATTGAAGTTTTATTCCTTCATAACACTATGTGTTCCTCCTCTCTCCAGCTACCTATGCTGCCTAACCTGTTTAACCACTTGCCTACCGGGCACTTATACCCCCTTCTTTACCAGGCCAATTTTCAGATTTCAGCGCTGTCGCACTTTGATTGACAATTGCACGGTCATGCAAGATTGTACCCATATGAAATTTTTATAATTTTTTTCTCACAAATAGAGCTTTCTTTTGGTGGTATTTAATCACCACTGGGCACTTTACTTTTTGCCCTATAAACAAAAAAATTGCAAAAAAATTAAAAAAAAAAAAAAGTTTCTTTGTTTCTATTATAAAATGTTTAAAACAGATAATTTTTCTCCTTCACTGATGTGCGTTGATGAGGCAGCACTGATGGGCACTAATAGGTGGCACTGATGGGCACTGATAGGCAGCACTGATAGGCACTGATAGGCAGCACTAATAGGTGGCACTGATAGGCAGTACTAATGAGGTGGCACAGATAGGCGGCACTGATAGGCAGCACTAATGAGGTGTCACGGATAGGTGGAACTGATAGGTGGCACTGATAGACAGCACTGATAGGTGGCACTGACTGACATCACTGCTGGGCACTGACTGGCAGCACTGCTAGGCATTGACTGGCGCAACTGCTGGGCACTGACTGGCATAACCACTGGGCACTGCTGGGCTGCACTGATGGACACTAGTGGGCACAGGTGGGTGGCACTGGTGGGCACATGTGGGTGGGCACAGGTGGGTGGCACTGCTGGGCACATGTAGGTGGCACTTCTGAGCACAGGTGTGTGGCACTGCTGGGTGGCACAGGTGGGTGCACTGCTGGGCACAGGAGGGCGCACTGCTAGGCACAGGTGGGCGCACTGCTGGGCACAGGTGGGTGGAACTGGTGGGTGCCACTGCTGGGCACCGATCATCAGGGCACTGATCATCAGTGCCCTGATGATCGGTGCCGATCTCTGCTCTGACAACTGCCGGTTCTCGTCAGTACTTTCCTCGCGCTCTGACAGCGTGAGGAAAGTGCAGCCGAGAACCAGCAATTGCATTTCCCGGTGATCAGCGTGTCATTGGACAATGCTGATCACGTGGTAAAAGGCCGCTGAGATTGGCCTTTTACCACATCACGTGATCAGCTGTGTCCGTAGGACACAGCGATCATGGAGATCGTCGGGGGTGCGCCCCCGGGGGCACGCAGGATAGCGCGTTCTGGGAGGATGTCATATGACGGCCTCCCAGAACTGGCCGGCCTCAGTGTAGCCATCATTCGGCTATCTGCGGTCGGCAAGTAGTTAAAAAAAGATGTGTATTCTTACCTTTTTGCAGCCCACTCATGTCTGGTCATATGATCCCATTTGTTAGTGAGCAGTGGTTGCAGTGGAGAAGAGGGAACACTCGACAAGGGCTGGGAATCCCAGGAGTGGTAACATCACCCACAGGCTCCCATGTCCCAGCTGTTGTCAGCGTTCCCTCCTCTCCTATGCAGCAGCTGCTGACTGGCACAGGGTTGCAGAGTTGCAGATCACATAACTGGACAGGAGCAGACTGAAAATAGGTAAGTATACACATTTTTTTTACAAAGGTTAGGCAGCATAGGCAGTAGGAGGGACAATGAACATTTTTAAGCATAGTTATTGTTAGACAGGAATTCTATTTTAACCACTTGTCCTCCTGAGGATTTACCCCCCTTCCTGACCAGGCCATTTTTTGCGTTACGGCGCTGCATTACTTTAACAACTGCGCGGTCATGCAACGCTTCACCCAAATTAAATTTACGTCCTTTTTTCCCAGGAATTGAGATTTCTTTTGGCGGTATTTGATTGCCTGTGCAGTTTTTATTTTTTGCGCTATAAAAAAAAGACCGACAATTTTAAGAAAAAATCTATATTTTGGACTTTTTGCTATTAAACATGTCTAGTAAAAAAAATTAAAAAAATCAAATTTGTCATACATTTAGGTCTAAATGTATTCTGCTACGTCTTTGCTAAAAAAAATCCCAATATGTGTAAATTGGTTTACGTGAAAGTTATATCGTTTACAAATGGTAGTATAGCTGAGTTTTTTTTTTTATAGTAATGGCGGCGATCAGTGACTTATAGCGGGACTGCAGGACTGCGTTGGGCATTCTGACACTGGGGGGAACTGACTTGGTGTCACTGACATCCCCAGTGACACCAATACAGTGATCAGTGCTACTAACGACACCGGGGCAGGAAGGGGTTAACATGAGGGGCGATCAAAGGGTTAACTGTGTTCTGGGAGTGTTTTACTGGGGGGTGGTGTGTTGGTGCTTCACTGTAATCACACTGCTCTGGATGGCATAGCAGTGTGCCTGAGCCGACAGAGAGGAGGACTGTTAGTAAACAAGCAGTCCTCCTCCCCATCAGAGACTGTCGGTAATCACCGGGCGCCAGCCGGAAATCACCGGCCGGGACCCATTGATTGACAGCCACAGCTGCAAATGGCGGCGCGGGTAGGGCACGCGCACCCCTTACTCGAATATACAAAATCACGTATATATATACATGATTTTGTGCACCCCTGCCGCCCCGTAGCAGTATATCTGCTATAGGGCTGTCGGGATATGGTTAAAGAACTAAACCTATTGATTTAACAGCTCCATTCCCAGCATGCCAGGAATACTAACTGTCACATTTGCTTGTGCTCTCAACCAAACTGTCAAACCATTAAATGGCTGGTGTCATGACTGATCACATGTGTAGCATCATGGCAGTTGCAAATCAAATGGATGTTAAGATGACCTCTTCCCTGGCTGAAAAGGAGAGGGGGTTTTAGTTCTGCTTTAAGGGCCAGTTCACACTACATGTATTTCAGTTGCTATTTTTCTGCATCCAAAATGCACAGAAAGTACGTTATATGGTTGTCAATGTCGTAGTTCACATCAGTGCTTGCAGTTCCAGTGCGTTCCAGTTGCAGAAAAAAAGTAAAACATGCTGCTTTGTTTTTCTGCACAGAACTGTACTGGAATGAGGTAAAACGCATCGAAAACGCACTGGAACGTGCCAAAAACGCGCATGCAAAACACATCTGGAACGCAACTGGACTGCATTTCTATAAGGTGAACAGGCCCTAAGTCCAGAGGAGTCCCCTGCACAGCTGCTTTGTCTGCACAAATGGTATGTTCACCTCTGATGTGAAGTTTGAATTACT